GATGTTATTTTAGCTTACCTGAATGCACTTTTAAAACTAACAGTTGACTACACTTGGGATGTGTAGCGAAATTTTGTCACAACGCTCTTCTTTAAGTCATACATTTTATATCTAGCAACTTCGTATATAATTATATATGTCACCGGAACATTTTGTACAATATCCTTTTATAATTATTTTTATCATTATTATCATTAGAAATTTGCATAAGTTTTCTCAGAATTTTGCTTCTGATATAAGTGATTAATATGAAAATTAGTAAATATATGTCACTGATTAATCTTGATTAAAACATTGTGACTGAAAACTACATGCGACATGGCATAACTCCAGCGAATCAAGAGTTTCAAATTGATTATTTTATTGTATAGATAGAAAACGAGTCAACTTGGACACTGACATAGTCAATTTGTGTAAACGTTCCAAAGACCATATAACTGGTTAACTTATGCGTTATCAGTCAATATGCTTGGCCGTATTATTTCTAAAATAGACACCTTAGGTGAATAGATCATAGGCTTAGATTAAAGACATGTCATGTTAATATTCTCTATGAAGATAGATATATGTATTGAATGTCATATCAGTGTCATGATTTTCTGTCACCGTCTAGTATTGCTAGAACTACCTGACGCGCTTTGACTTAGATAATAAAGTTACATTAAGACACTGTCGTGCTATATATAGCCAGCTAGTCTTTTAAATAATTAATTCACGATACATAAATATTTCATTAGGAAAATTTAGTTTTAGTTTTTAATTGACAAATTACAGAAATTGTCTACTCAGTTTTTAAGACAAAATGTTTAGGCGAAGCGTTTTAGTGGTTGGAATTATGTTATGTCCAATTTTTCAAATTCTTAGGTATAATCAAAACTGAATTGTCGTTAAATACTATCCCATTAAATCAGTCTGTCACACCTGCATGGTGTAAAGATTCAAAACATTTAACTCTAATCATATTTATTGCTAATATATACATGTACATGTAAATATACAGAGAAACAAAGGGGCGTCCGTGGCCGAGAGGAATCGCTGTGGGTTCGAATCCCGACAGGGGATTCTTTCATGTGAGGAAGCTATCCAGCTAGCTTACGGAACGTCTGTGGTTCTACTCAGGTGCCCGTTCGTGCCTGAAATAATGCAAGGAGGGGCACCTGAGGTCTTCCTCCACCAGTAAAGCTGGAACGTCCCCATATGACCTATACTGTGTCGGTGTGACGTAAAACCCAATCAAACAAACAAACTGAGAAACAAATTGATTTCGAAATAACAAACAGCAAAAGGTTTTGGCCCATTCATAACATTGCTACATGTAATGTTTCAACCATTAAGTAGAGTCATCATAAATTCTATAAAAGCTGTCGAATCCATATCACATTGGAAGTTATTTTCGATTCACATTTAATTTAAATGTAGCAGGACTCAAGTAAAAGGGGAAGTAATCGATATTCTGTTATATTAGGAAGTATACGGACTTGCCCAACATAACAGGATATTAAGACACGTCAGTGAAAGATTAAAAAAAAACACGTGGATAATTCTAATGACATCTGTTCACTAATATGTGCCTTAACGACCTATAGATTAGGTAATTTATTTTGTAATTTTAGAGTAAAAATAAACATTATCTTAATGGTCTCTTCCATTATAAACTGTTCAATGTTTTATGGGGATTTCTAGTTTATCCTAGTAGAATACATGTAATATAGGATAATTGGTCACACATATCGGTCTTTCAAAATAAACCATTTATTTCATAAAGTAAATCAAAGTATCATGGGATCTTCTGTAAGAAGTTCCACTGTATTAAACAAGACTTGTCGTTAGAAACAGACACATGCCTCCAAAGCTGGACCCAGTGGAGGAACCATGACCTTTAACTTAAACAATGGCATGGTTTCTATTAAGTGTTACGAGAATATTGAAGTATTAACAGATACCTTTTCATATCATCAGTAAAAAGCCTCCATGAATGAATAACAAAGATATGACAAGACACAGCCATCATTGTACAATACTGAAAACCAAGTATATAATCTTTGGACAAAAGCTGTAGACATATTCAATTATGACGTTTGGTGTACAACAACAAGTGTGATATTGACCTTTGCACTTGCAATCTGACTGCGAGACACGTTATCATAATATCTGACATATTAATGAAAAAGTTATTCAGGAATGGCATAATTGTAGCCTGGACACGACCATCAATGCACTTTAAAACAAGAGCCACCGCCGGGCGGGGGCAACGCTCGACTTTTTACTTTCTCTAAAAGCAAACAAAGAAATGTTTGAACAAAATATTAACGTTTCCTTTTTTATAAAATTAATCATTCTGTTTTGTCACATTAGTTTTGTCTATATATTATATATATATAAATATATTAATTTATATATATATAAATAGAGACACCCAATTCGAAGTCACATGGTGGTGTCATGTTGTGGAGTCACGTGGTGGAGTCGCGTGGTGGAGTCACGTGGTGTAGTCACGTGGTGTAGTCAAGGTGGTGTAGTCAAGGTGGTGTAGTCACGTGGTGGTGTCACGGTGGCGGAGTCACGTGGTGGTGTCACGTGGAAGTCACGTGGTGGAGTCACGTGGTGAAGTCACGTGGAGTCACGTGGTGAAGTCACGTGGTGGAGTCATGTGGTGGAGTCACGTGGTGGAGTCACATGGTGGAGTCAGGTGGTGGAGTCACGTTGTGAAGTCACATGGTGAAGTCATGATAAACAACAAGGTCTTGTATTTAAGCATGTTCTGTTATAATATGAAGTTGATCCCTTCAATAATAGCAAAGTAACAGCCAAAACAAAGTCAAGGTCATTCATGAGTGAAGGTCAAGGTCTGTCAGGTTATTTTTAAGGGATATCCTTGAAGATTATTATGTTCAAGTTTGAAGACAATCCATTCAAAAATAACAAAGTTACAGCCAATAATAGCCAAAAACATGAAAATTTCAATAATTTGACCTTCAAAGTCAAGGTCATTTATGAGTGAAGGTCAAGGTCTGTCGGGTTATTTTTAAGGGATATCCTTGAAGATTATTATGTTCAAGTTTGAAGACAATCCATTCAAAAATAACAAAGTTACAGCCAATAACAGCATGAACAAGCAAAATTTGGACTTTTAACCTTGAAGGTCAAGGTCATTTATGAATGAAGGTCAAGGTTAGTGTGGTCTACTGAAAGGTCTTGTCCCAAGGGTTGTTGTGGCCAAGTATGAAGACAATACACCAAGAAATAAAAAAGTTATGATCCAGGTACAATTTTGCGGACGGCAACGGCTACGGCAACAGCGCCGCCGACTATAACAATACCTCTACTTTTTTTTCAAAAAAAAAAAAGTCGAGCTAAAAATCATATCAGGACTTTGCAATACAAGTGCGACTTAAGCACTTTGACCTTTTGAGCTGGAGACCAAATTCTTGCATGAGACACGTAGTCATCCAGGAATGACGAACATTCGTGTACTTTCATGAAAACGTGATCTTGATCTATGCTCGCGACAGATTTGCATAGTAATTTTCAAATTAATCATGTTGATCGTACAAGAACATCAGTGCAACTTTCTTCGAAGTCGGTGTGATCTACAAACGAAGACCTTAAGCGCGACACATCGTCTCAATGTACTTCACATTTTTACAAAATTATTTAGAAATCTATCTATAAACCGGACACAAAGTTGGGACGGAAGGAAAAACTACATTTCGTCACACTGTGTAGAGTCTTCGGTAACCCAGGAATACTAGTTAACGTATTAACTGATAAATGTAGTTCAGGGGAATCAGTACCCGTGTGTTCTGATGATACCTGTGGGAGGGGGCATAAAAAAGCTTAGTCTACCAAGTATACTGCTGAGTGAAAAGTAAATTTATTTCAATCTTCTATGCAAATTTCAACAAGAACCGGTGAACCGGCTGATGCTCCCCGAGGTTTTGGACACAGGAAAGTATATAAAAATGAACAAAGGAATAAGGCAAGGCGGAGTTTTTTTGCACTGCACTTCTATTCAATGAGATCTATCTATCTCTAAAGTTTCCTGATGATATCTCTTATAGTAAAGAGTTATGTCCCGGGTAAAATTCAAAGTGTAAGAATGAACAAAGGGCAATAACTTCAAAATTAGACAAGGCTTTGGTTAGGTTCTTCAAGCATTGCAGTTCTATCCAATGATATCTATCTACCTACAAAGTTTCATGTTGATATCTCTAATAGTTTTAGTGTTATGTCTCGTACAAAATGTAAACAAAGGGCAATAACTTCAAAATAAGGCAAGGCAGAGTTATGATTTTTTAGCACTGCACTTCTACCCTATGAGACCTATCTATCTACAAAGTTTCATGTTAATATCTCTTATAATTTTAGAGAAATGTCCCGGAAAAAGTTCAAAGTGTGAAAATAAACCAAGGGGAATAATTCAAAACTAAGGCAAGGCAGAGTTATGGTTCTTGTGCACTGCGCACCTACTCAATGAGATCTATCTACCTACAAAGTTTCATGTTGGTACCTCTTATAGTTTTAGAGTAATGTTCCGGACAAAGTTCAAAGTGTAAAATAAAAAAAGGGGGATAATTCTGAAATTAGGCAAGGCAGGGTTACGGTTCTTATGCACTGCACAAATACTCAATGAGATCTATCTACCTACAAAATTTCATGTTGATACCTCTTGTTGTTTCAAAGTTATGTCCCGGACAAGAAAAGCGGACAGACGGACGGAAATTCCTACGAATGGTCATTTATTGGGTACTTCTTTTGTTTAAAAGTACCCAATAAGAGAACAAAAGTACCCAACAATACTGACGGAATGAAAAGAATTACCCAACATGTGTCCTCTCGTGTGTTCAAGGTACCCAACAAGTGTCCCCTCATTCGCCCGGACGGACAAGGCGGCGACTATATGCTCCCCGAAATTTTTCTGGGAGCATAAAAAGAAATATTCAGTGTAGTTTTCAATTCCACCACATGGTTGGATACAATTCATAACAAAAGCATCTTAATTGTTTTATTCATCTTTTATTTGTTTCAGAATGAAACTCTGGACATTTTATTTAAATAAATATTATTCAAATTCCCTAATAACATATTCTATCAATCAGTGGTGTTAGTAGCCCCATCCTTGGTCCACAATGCTTCAATACTAAATACAGCACTTTTCTTGCACACCATCACTTCTATCACGGAGAACCAAGTCTCCAAAAACTCTACAATCCGAACTAGAAATACTGTTCTTTTCTCTTTCCATGAATTTGTTTTTTTTCCTGCTTTCTGAGAAATCGGAAAAAAACAACATCTCCTGGCCTGTTCATACCTCAGTGATAAAAATATTGAGTAGTTTTTTTAAATGTTATTTTCACACACCACTGCTAGCCTACCTACATTTGTTATATTCACAATCAACTGTAAAAAACACATTCTATTATCATATTACACGTCAGTTCAAATGTCAGTTTCATCACTCACAGTTATGTTTCTAATGACTTAATGAGCAAAAATACTTAAAATAAAAAGATGACCGAAAAAAGAAAAATACTTTCACTTAAAATTTCTCTGTGTAAAATTACTCAGATCAAAAAATAACGTCCAGCAATTCCTGCATGGAATGCGTACATATACAAAAAAAAAAACCTTTTACACATTTGTTGTACAATGTATACATGTGATTTTACTCATACATTCTCTGTAAAATATGATATTCATTACATATAATATTTCAAGTAGTAGTAGTAGTCACCTGTGAATGATTTTGGTTTACAGAATTTCCATACACATGACGGTAGCACCAGCAAAAACATGAATTAACAAATTACAAGTTTTAATATCCACAGCGTTAAGTATTCCCTATTGTCACAACAATTCTGGTTGAAATATATATAACATAATTGTTTCACAAAAAAAACAGAGTAAAATTTGAAAATGTGCAAATGAAAATACCACATAACAGTGGTTTAAAATCATGAAAACAAGGAAAAAAATAACCAATAAAAAAATAAAGAAAATATCAAACCTGTAATAATAACCACAAATCTGTGGTTCCGATTTAACATATTTACAATTGATAATTTATTTCCTTCTTCAAAATGGAAGCCATAAAGTAGCACTACTCTGATATTAAAAATACTAAAATCAGTAACTAATAGCTTCAAATAGCATCAGTTAACTTCTTAATTGATACATATAAAAAATGTGTATACATGGTTCATAATCTTATATAATATTCTTCTATATAAATGTTAACTCAATAATTAGTAAACACTTCAAATTTATCTACATGAATATGTTATAAAATTTGTACAGAAATATGAAGTAATCTTTATATATTGCCCAAAATTTTCGTGTCTGAATACTGGTTTAATTAAATTAATTTAATAAAAAAAAGAAAAAAAGAAAATAAACAGAGAAAAAAAAACATATCTGGCACAAGTATATATGTAATTTGATATTAATGTGTATAAGTGTTAAATATCCTTATCTAACAATATTTATAAATATACAAACAAAAAATATCAAAGACAAAAAAATACATGTGTATTGCACCATACTTAACATTTATCAACAATTACCAAAAACAAGTAATTACCTAAAAATGACTAACATTTCTTCAATAACAGTTGATAACTAGTAAGAATGATTTAAATAAAAACCCCAGTCCCAAAGAACACAAGACAAATCAAGCTGTATAAACATATAATGAAGAAATAATACAAGACAAGTAAACACCTTTCACACAATTTGAAAATGCCTAGATTCACAGTCATTCAGTACATACAAGTTTACCAACAATTTACTGGTTATATTGAATGTAAATTGCTATGTAAACTGTTTATACTACTTTACACATGGACAAAACATTATGTGGCTTATTTGTAGAAGAAGAAAACATTATTATAATTAAATACAAAATAAAATCCTCAGTATATTGTATAAAATATTGACAAATTTTTTTAAGTCAACATTTAAGATTTTTATGTAATCTACTGTAATTGGAAACAAAAACTTATAAAAAAAATTTCAAATTCTAATCTCTTAATTAATTAATTGATAAATAAATAAATCGACTGATCAGCCACTTAAGAAAGGAATTCTCAAGCCCTGTCACAGACTATATGACTCATTCATACGCACATATATAATACAAACAGTCTAGTTTATGGCAGTCATTCTATTAAATCTAAAACACAAAAAAACTAAATGCTTCTCTATGACAACATTGATCCACTGTGCTAGCCCTAAAAATGACAACCAGCATTTTCAGGGAATATCATCTAAAACTCTAATTTGTTTTGTACAACAGGTCTATTTTTTTTGGCAATTTCAATTTGATTATTGCAGTAACCAGTAAAACAAAAATCAATAACATTCTAAAATAATTGTATCAATAATAATTAATGAATTCAAAACAATTAAGCTAAAAAATGGCAAGTTGAAAGAGACAGTATTATGCAAAGATGATCTTTGGAAGAACTTTCATTATACCAATTCATAATTTGTAAGTTGTTACAAGTATCTTTCAATCCATAACAATTTGGTGTCAAAAAGATGAAAGAATGCAAGTCAAATTTTAACAAAATCTGATCCTGCTTTATATATTAAAAAAATCTCTACCAAGTACGTTTCTACAATGATATTTCTAACCATCTATAACGTATTAACTGCCAGTTTATCAAGACCTTAAGAGTAGGTAGAAAGACCGTTACAGTGTGGCATCTATGTTATCTATAGCACATCAAAACAAGAGCAAGATAACTCTTACACAGAAATTACATACAAGAGTTATCCCACTTTTGTACTAAGATGTATTAATGTGGACAATGAGTAGGTGATACGTGAGAATAATGATATGTGATGTTTACAGTTCGTCGTGTTTATCACCCTCTTCTTCTTCTTCCTCTTCTTCTTCATCACCCTCCTCCTCCTCGTCCCCATAATCTTCTCCCTGAAAACACCACAAGAACATTGGACATTTAGTAACATAACAAAATAAAGACAGCCATTTTAACATTTTACTGTAGGCAGCACATTAGAGCTTTCCAGTAAACACCTGTTATTACAGAATATGGAAAGGTCTCCTCTAAGTTTCAGTAGACAATGACTTACGGCAGAAACTGTCGCCATATTGAACCTATATAATGCTGTAATCTAAATTGATCAATCTTCGTCAGGCAGTCAGCCTAAATACTTATATATGGATAGTTCCATAAATTTAAAGCTGGAAAAGGTTTTTTGAAGAAATTCATCACAATAAAATATGATACTGAAACTATATATATCAGACATGAAACAGTCAGATACCAAAAACTGCTGTGCCCTCTACATCATTAAAGCCTTATATTTTTATCAGAACTAAAACACTGAAATTTAAAGTAACATTATGCCCATCCCAGGGTATATAGTGACTGATCAGGCGAATATCAAAATAAGTTTTCATTTTGCCATAATTTCTTTTAATTTAATTATTTACTTCCCACAAACAATAAATAATTCACAGATCTAAATAAAATTTCTGTAAATATCTATTAGAATTTACCTCTAACGCTCAATTTATAAAAATGAGTGGGGCAGTCTTTTTATATTTTAGGCAGATTTATAATTTCATCCTGAACGTTTATATATAATATATACTGTTGGTCAACCGCCATTTTAACCGTCAATCTTTTGAAATATAAAGTCAATTCAGCTCAACTTGACTATGAAAATATGAACATAATGTCACTTTAAAACTTGCATTTAGTTCTGACAAGATTTTGGTCCTTTATCCTCCCATTATTTGTTCCTGCATAATTGTGGAATACTTTTTCAACATTTAGTGTTTTAACATATTATACATTATAGTAAATATCCGTGTACTGACCTCGGCTTGACCTGCTACAGTTGGATCACATCCGGAATCAACAAACTTCTGGAATCCTTCTAGAGTTCTCTCCCCATTGTAATCTACTGCCTGAAATATACATCAAACAAACAAAAATATAACAATTCTGTTTGATAATAAACTCTTATACATGACATTCACAAAATATGTTTTAGAAGTTTGTTTGCTTGTTTGTCTGTTTGTTGCATTTTACGCCTTTTCCAAACAAAATTTCAGTCATATAGGTGGGTAGTTTCCTAACCATGGTTCCTGGAGAGTTACACCAGTACTAGACTACCTTCCTCCGTGCTACGTTTTAGAAGTATCCCCAATACATTCACATTGACTAAATTATATTCACCTCCCCCCCCGCCCTTCCCCCTTCAAGAAAATTGCAGATAAGGTCTAGAGACATGTCAAGCATTACCTTAGAGCATTACTGTATAATCAATGACCACAAACAGGATTGCTTTCTCAAATACAACACTTTTAATATCTATAATGCTCCTTGATACACTACTATTACTACTAACATGAATTTTAAAGAAGAATACATGACATAAGTTAAGACATAATTCAATAAATTAAGACATACTTCAATAAATTAAGACATACTTCAATAAATTAAGATTAAGACATACTTCAATAAATTAAGACATACTTCATACAAACATGCCAAACTGCCCTAGATCAACTTCCTATCAATAAACAGCTTCAATATCAGCTTCTATCAATAAACCATTTGACTAAATTGATCACGGTTATTTTTTTCTACAAATATTTCAAGTATCAACGTACCTTATCAGCATTGCTGGGGAAACATTTAATGGTTGGGAAGCTCTGTACTTTAACATCATCTACTTCATTAGCTGTGGAATCCATCTTGGCAATAACAACATTATCATTTCCCTCGTATTTCTCTCCAAGTTGATCCCAGATAGGGGCCAACTGTTTACAATGTCCACACCATGGTGCATCTGTAACAAAATTTACATGTTTTCATATATGGATAATATTAACTTGGCTTATTTTTTAACACAGACTTTTTAAAGTTTTTTTAAAAAAAAAAAAAAAATTGCTTTACTATGGAATTTGTGAAATGATTTTGATAAAATCTGGAATCAATCAAACCAACTTATTCAAGTATTTAATTCATGAAATGATTATCACACTAAGGTAACATAAGACCATGACTTATCATTGACATGTTTGCATTTATAAGTAAAATGACAAAATTAAGCAAATAATGTTCATGAACAACAAATCACACACAAATATCCTCATCTACCAACAAAAATAACATGTAAATCTTTGGTTTCAAATTCTTAAGTCTAAGGAATTAATTCACACTTACAAAATTCAACAAGAACAAGTTTGTCTTTATTATTGGCAACTTCAACAAAGTTTTTGCCGACCAAAACTTTAACTGGTTTAGCATCCCAGTCAGCTGGTACATCTTCTGACATCAAATGAGCCTGAAAACATTCAAATGAATGCTTACTTACTATAATATAATCATAAGAACATAATATACCTTATCTGGAAAGTCTGGCCATATAATACTGTGAAATCATTATTATTCGTGGGGCACAAATTTTCGTGGTTTTCGTGGATAGGTACAATCTAATACATATTGAGCTAACTGGGCCAACTTACAAAGTTCTAAAAATATTAAGAATTTCCTATCATTTGATTACCAGAATACAAATGAGCTGCGCCATGACAAAACCAACATAGTGTGTTTTCGACCAGCATAGATCCAACCAGCCTGCGCGTCCGCCTAGTCTGATCAAGATCCATGCTGTTGGCTTACAAACCCTTTAACAATTACAGAAACTGACAGCGAACAGCAGGGCTCCTGATCGGACTGCGCGGATGCTCAGGCTGGTTGGATCTATGCTGGTCACAAAAGCACTATGTTGTTTTTGTCATGGCACAGCTCAAATATTAACAAAAGTAACCTACCTTGATTTTACCGTCAAGTACACCATTAACAAAGGTTTTTATAGCATCAGCAGATAAGTCATTAGTTTCTGGCTTGAATTTTGTCATATCTTCTTCGAGTTTGATCAAACGAACAGCTGGGGTTTCTTCCTTCTTTAGACCAAAAAATTCCAAGATCCTTTCATTGTCAGCATCACCAGTGTTGATGTAGATGAACAATACCTGTAAATTATACAAAACATGAAACTCATTTTGTATTTTATTGAACACCAAAGCCATTACAGAAAATAGAATGACAATTGTAATTCGTCTTTTGCCAGTATTTCATTTAATTCTTTTGAATTCAAGATTTCTTGTCCATATCTTATTCTACAATTTGAAGCATTTTACTTAAATTATTCAATACAGTAATAAAGATTCCTTATCAACACCTGCTACATTCAATAAATAGCTACCTGTTCACTTAAATCTAGTTCTCTTTGATACATTGTTGTTTTTGTATAGCCATTTAATAGCAAACCTTTGTAACAATTGAATTAGAGAATAATCAGACAGGTAAAGACTGACCAACAAGAGTAACATAATCAATATAGTAAACAAGGATCTTTACACACATACATCAGAGGACAGAAAATGAACTGTTGCTTGACTTTAGACAATGTTTTTTACCTTTCCCTTAAAGTCAGCAGCTGCTTCTTTGTATGATACCATGTCTTTAGAATCTGCTTCAACATCTTTAGTGAACAGTAAAAGATGGGTCTTAACCTCTCCTCCAAAGATCTTCTGGGCACTCTACAATAATAACAAATAACTGCTTTGTAATTATTGATTTAGTTTGTTTGTTTCATTTTACTCCTTTTCCCAACAGTATTTCAGTCATATAGGCGGGTAGTTTCCTAACCATCGTTCCTGGAGAGTAACACCGGTACTAGACTACCTTCCTCTGCGCTAAGCTACCAAAGCATCTCCCGGGGATCGAACCCACGCCAGAGAGGTAACTGGATTAAAAGTCATCAACTCTAACCCCTCGACCACAGAGGCGGTTGATCTATGACAATTGTTTGTTAGTACAGTAAGTGTAACGTTATAAATACTACAAATACATGAAGTAAGATGTCACCATACATTACATGGTGTTAATTCTAAGTTACTTTTAACAAGTCTTGAGGGAAAGGTGGCAGGTCACTTTTATAGGTGGTAATGGCACTGTAAATATTACCCTTGAGCTACATGTACCTGGAACTCAAACTATGAATATCTGACAATTATTTAAAAAACTTTAACATAAACAAATTCCATGATTTAGCTGGAATGAGTTTTCAAGAATAGAAACATAATAAAAAGTTGGGGAGGATACCCTTTCACTTGTACAGGAAAATCTGGCACAATTTTAGCCTAATGTATGGTAATAATATACAACTATAGGTATCTGAAACATACCACTTGATACCAAGTATGATACTGGTCATTTTGTTTTACAAGTATATATAATATGTATGTATGTAAAGGTAAAATATTTACTTCTTGAGTGAATTCAACGACCAATGGCATCTGGTTTCCAGCGATGAAGGTTTTAAGGTTTTCTGCTGTTAGCTCACCTTCGAACTTGTTCTTGCCTTCATCAAACTACAAAATATAAAAACATGCTTAATCTGTATCAAAACATTATTTTATAAGCTTTATTATAGAAATACGAGATAAAACACAAAGTCACAAGTTATAGCTAAGTTAAGTATTTAAACTTACTGGTATTAGTAATTTGAGCTGCGTCATGACAAAACCAACATAGTGGGTTTGCGACCAGCATAAATCCAGACCAGCCTGCCCATCTGAGCAGTCTGATCAGGATCCATGCTGTTCGCTATCAGTTTATCTACTTGTAATAGGGTTTGTAAGCGAACAGCATGGATCATGATCAGACTGCGCGGATGCCAAGGCTGGTCTGGATCCATGCTGGTCGCAAACTCATTATGTTGGTTTTGTCATGATGCGGCTCATTTGATTTTTGTTTGTTTTACATCATCAATGCCTGGATATAAATTAAAACAGCAGAATAACTTATTGTTATCCCTGATAATGATACATCTGTTGTCACTAGTATAACACTGGCCAGCCAATCAGACATGCAGGTAACTAGATTCACAAGTTGCTGTAGTTAGCTAAGTTAATAATACAAGTGATGTAAATTTATGCCATAGAAATTTTATCAAATTTTTTAACTGCACAGTAAGTAGCTGACTATCTAGTATAAAATATCAAACAAATCAAAAGTAAATTAGAATAAATACATTATGATGAAATCAACCTGATACAACTCTTGTTTAGTCTTACAAAGAAAATGACTTGTATGACAAACCATTATGGACAGGTTATTTTCTTCAGCATTTCGTGAAGTATCATTGAACTATTAATATATTTTTACCTTCTTAAAGAGCATAACACCTTCAGATTCCATCTCATGCTCCTTAAACGTATCAGAGTCTGAGGTAATACCGAATGGAATATCATCAATTCCTGAAGCAACATCGGTGAATACCTTGGCACCATCTGAACTGGCATCCTATAATTATATTAAACGTCATTAAGTTTTGTATTAACCATTGGTATGGTGATTGAACATGAGATCCTTTATACAGTCATTCGCACTGTACCTCTGCTCTGGCATGTACAAAAGTTTTAGTTCCTTGCGAAAGTGAAGGCAACTAGTACTGGTAAACTGTCTGACAGCCTGCCCTGGAAGGATGCGGTGGCTGAACTGTGCTCTGGTAAATTCAATGTAGTTTACTGCAGTGATCCAGAGTGACAACTACCAATACCACCACTTCTACCAGTGTACAGCCAGGCCTACCTGCATATTTTATTCTATACAGGTACCAGGCCTACCTGCATATTTTATTCCTACCTGCATATTTTATTCTATACAGCTAGTCAATACTCTACATATCAGATAAAAATCTGTCATAAAAGGTTAACAGTTTTCTAGTAATGTACCAATGGCAAGGTAATTATTTTCTCTACCACTACTATTGTAATCCTTTGCATATACATGTAATTACGGAAATTCTCACTAGACACTAAATCAACTAAAACTGCTGTGGAAGTCAAAAAGGGTAATTTTTTTTTAAACAAAATTGTCACAGTAGCATCAATTATTCTGTAAAATTGCTCTTCACAAATTTATGAAATAACCACTAAAATGCTATTGTTTAACCATTAGCAAGAAAATGACAAGATTATAACACATGTTTATTTATAAACACAGCAATAAAGAAAGTGTGCTTTTTTCCCCTTTGTCCTTTCCATATTTTCAATAAAATCCTACATTTGAAGGAACTTGTTACAAATAAGTAAGAATATTCAATGTCAGAAAAAAATGTAAAACAGTAATTTAACATTCATGGGTAATTAAACACAAGAGCGATCAGTGATCACATGTGTCGCCTCATAATGGCCAATTTCATTTTGGGACAAGTTTTGTGACCGTCCGACAAGACAGACGGACAGTGCACAACTAGACTTGGTACTGATCATTCCTGTAAAGTTTGGATAAAATTGCACCAGTAGTTTATGAGGAGTAGTCCGGACAAGCTTTTGTGTATCTGGAAACACACAGAAAAAAACACCTTTTAATCAAAGGGCCATAACTCGGCCAAAAAACCTGTGCAATATGGGCAAGGACTTGAGCTACAGATCAATCCTGTAAAGTTTCATTGAAATTGCATTAGTGGTTTAAGAGAAGTAGTCCGGACAAACTTTAAAAATACAAATTATTAAAGGGCCATAACTCTTACAAAAATCATTGAACCAGGAAAATGCTGACAATATGCACAACTAGACTTGGTACTGATCATTCCTGTAAAGTTTGGATGAAATTGCACCAGTAGTTTATGAGGAGTAGTCCGGACAAGTATTGTGACGGACAGACAGACTGACGACGGAGCAGTGATCCCTATATGTCGCCACCACTCCGTAGAGACGACACAAAAAATGCAGAATTATTTGATAATTCATGAAATAATGCTAAATTTATAAGAACAAAAGGCTTTCTGTAATGTTATAACAATGACCTTGAAGAATCCCACAACAACAACTTGATTTTTCTCGATCAAATCAGCAGTAGCTTCCTTGTTTTCCAGGGTGGTTGCTGGTGGTCCGGTCTTCTTTTTCAACCAGTTCACAATATCATCAGCAGTTCTTCCAGCTGAAACAAATTTAAAATTACCGTAACAGAAGTTGACATATTTTGGTATCATTGACTTACTTTTATTTTAATTATCTGTTTCACACGATTATTTATTTATTTATAAATCATACAAACTTCTCTGTATTAGTTGTATTACAAAACAAAATTTGTTTATTAAAAGTTGCAATGCAGAAAGGACCAAAAATAACTGATTATTTTATAGATAAATTACTTACCACTGTATTCAATGGCCTTGCCCTTGCGGAAAAATTTAATTGTTGGGTAACCCCTGACCTCATATTTTTGGGCACAAGCAGTTTCTACAGTGGCATCAACCTTGGCTAGTTTGATTTCTGAGCCTTCGCCAGCCAAAGTGGCAGCTGCCTTCTCATATTCTGGGGTAAGAGCCTTACAGTGGCCGCACCATGGGGCATCTACAATGTAAAAATACAGCTAACATTTAGTTCTATGACTCTGGTACAACTCTGGTTTTTTCTTTATCAACAATATAAATCATAAATCTCTCTATAAAAAATATTAAAACCAGATAAAAAAGCAATAAATATAAAATTTATAAGTCTAGGAATAATAAAATATCATCTTTACCATTTCAAGAAATAGTTCTTATTAAAATCCATATGTTACTACACTCAGTGTAAGTGTAAATGACCAAATAAAGTATTAACTTCTGACTTTTTTTGCAGACACAAATGATCTATAAATTTTGCAACATTTTTATGGTCATATAATATCAAGATAAACAATTCCCTTAGTTTATAACCCCACATGCCATGCCCATAAATCAAATATGTGTATACAGTAAAGGACACTCCAACTTTAACAATCATTTGAGCTAAAGCAGGTATAACATTTAAGTATGACGGAGAGACAATTCAGTAAAAACAAAAAAAGGAGACAATTTTATCTAATTATTTATGCAAACAACAGCTTGCTTAAAATTGTCATCATTATCATTTTTTTGGTGTAAATAAATGTCATTATTTTACAATAGGATACTATAAGCGGTATAACTGCTGACATTTTCCCTTGAGCAATAAATGTACAACCCTCCACTCTCTTTGTTACACGTCAGCATACTACAGTATGACATTATTATAACCAGGATGTCACCTTAGTTTTTCATGAAAAACATTGATACTGATCAACACGCTTGCTTATTTGTTAAGAAAATCTATTTAAAGCATACTTGTTTATCTTTAATCAGTTGTACATATTTTTTTTTTAAATCAAAATTACAATAACAAAAACAACAAAAGTTGAGTTGTGCAGCACAGTAACTTTGGAGTTTTAATGAAGGAGTAAAACCATATGATAAATTACACAAATGCTTTTTATTTCTGTTGTTTACATACATATGTTTACAAGAAGGGAGGTTTCCAATAAATTACTCTAGAACATTTCTAATTAGGGACATGTACATGGCAGTACTGTAGCTGTTAATGATAGCAAATATTGCTCTTGAAAGTCGACAAAAAACATGCCTTTACAAGAAAACACTTTGATTACAAATGATTATACTTGATTAAAGTCTTGTGCTCTAAAATAACTGTCTGATTACTTTTTAATTTTGTCTCTATAAATTAAATAGGAAAGGGGGGAAGAAACAATATACTAGGCAAAGCATATCAGATAACAACTTTCAAAATTAATTATTTGTAAACTTTTAATCGAACAAGGCATTAGTCAACTATAAGTAAGAAAGAACCTTCTTTGTATGCCCGCAACAATCTTAACCAGGAAAACATAAATATGTGTTATAAATTTCAAATAAATTTTAACTGCTTTTACCTTTATTTTAATGTTTTTGCTCCAAGTTAATAAGCAAAAACTAAAATGTAATTGATCAATTTAAATAGCCAGAGGAAAACTATGCTGTTAAATGCAGTAACAAAATATGATAAATATAATCATCACTTAAATCAAGTGAATCCAGCTCTAACTGTACTGGCAGCCAGGTAATCAAAGTCACTGAATTAAAATTGATATAATTTTCCAAAATGACAACTTTCCTATAGTCATAGCATAATAATACAGGTCTTCCTAGATGGATAATTTAGGAAATAATACAATTTGCTGAACAATGGAATGAAACAGCAGAATCAATGTAAGAGCAAGACCTATATCAAACTGATCTACTGCTTTAATGAGATCAGTGCACAACCGAGATATTTATTGTTGTTAGATGTCAACTTACCATGTTGACCTCATGCTTGCCTTGTACTAATTACTGGCATGTTTTTCATCAAGTTATTTTGACATGATACATTCAATAATATTGGTTTTAGCTTAGTTTCATCATATAAACAATTTAAAACAAAACACAATATGGAAAACTTTAAACTCAACAAAGTAAAGTATAATCACTCATTAAAACTCCAAATATTTGAAAAACTATAGTGCAACATAATTACTTTGAACAGATATATGTCAAACTAGAACTAATAGCTATAAGACTAATTAAGAAATTCAAATAAAAAGTTTTAAGAAACAAATGTACAAGTCATCTAATGAAAAAGCTATACAATTACTATTACATAGATTAACCTTGAAGGATTATTAAAGTCTTAATTCCAATATGTTGTCAAATAGTGCATTTGATGCACCATCTGATTCCCTCTCTAATTTTTTTTATTCGATTTTTATCAGTCATCTCAATTTTTTATGTAAGACTAAGAGTATTACTCGAGACAATTTATTACAATTGTTGGGGAACTTTCATGAAGTGTGGAATGGTAACAGGGCCCAAAGAAATGAGATTGTGGAGGAGAGAACAATTTAGTTTTTTGAATTACAAAGAAATATCCCTTGCTCTCGACAATAGACATGGAAAAAAATACCAGGATATGTCCAGCAGAAGACTCTCCATTATTCTCAGTGCTTGACAGTTGGAAAAGGGGACTAATTTTGTAAAAATATGCCTGTGATGAGACGCCAACACCAGACACTTTAAATAGTCAAGCTACAAAGAATTTTAAATATCTTTCTAAATGGTAGCAGAATAATTTTTACCAGAAATGGAAAAAAATATCTACTATTTAAGTTTTCAACACGACAGTTTACTCCAAAAATCTGACTGTAAAAAAGCAATGAATGCTTAAGTCTACAATACTGCAAGTATGCTAAATACATACTATAGGCCAAATCTAGGAATTAATTGACAAGTCTTTAAGTTATTTCAACACCCCATTTCTGCCAATCAAGTTGAGAAGGAAAAGCTTTATTCAGTGTGAAGTTAACATAATTCACTGTTTTTTTCAGCATAAATATACCATATTGTATCATGGTTTGTATCAATATACCCCTATCAGCTTATGTTTAATAGTTTTACAACAAACATGGATGTAACTGGAAGTGTTTAAGACACAAAATGATAGAATGAAGGCAACATGTGGCATAAATAGAAACTTATAGTACAAATTAACAAATGTTAACAACATTTAAATTGTTTAATATGTGAACTTCATCACCCAATTAAAAATGACATAGAATGACAGACAAAATTTAACCTTGCAACGTTGCATACTGATGAATATCAACTTAAACCCTACACTACTGCTACAGTCTGGTAAAGACGGATTAATTACAAATTCAAATAATTAAATTCACCAACACCATGCTAAAACAGTTTTACAACGTGTCATTATTTCACAAAGTCATATGAAGCTGACCATTACTGAACCTTGTCTTTATTTCAATCTGTTACATAAATTATATTTACACGAAGTTACGAACACAACTTTCATGCATTGATACATTCCCCACCCACAAAAAATACTACTTACAGAATTCTACAAGGACGTAATCAAACTCCTCTAGAGCATCAGCGATGGTTTTATCTGTCAAGACAAGCACGTTTTTCTCTTCTTTGTACTCTGCAGCATAAATGCCGGCAACTGCAATAAGCAGAAATATCGCTAACACTTTCATTTCTGGAAATTAATTCTGATCTCAATTATGACAGGATCTGTTGTGTTGTGTATTCAACGTGGCAAAGAGGCCGGTAGTTGTTTACGCATGCGCATGAATGCGGAATTCCTCATGTGTTGAAAGATGATTGGTTAAGAAATAAATTATGCGGTTTACTTTGGTGTTCTCCCTCATGATGCGTAAAAGCCAAAACCCATACGTGCACGGGAAAAAAAATTAACTAGAAAGGACTGTAGACTACGTCTTATGATTTAACCGTCATCAAAACATCATACAGTTAACAGAAGTTAAACATAAAATATTCTGTAGACTAATCCACTGTTATTTTGATTTTCTATTCCAATTAAACTTACTGGGCGTAGATCTATAGGGTGTCCAAGTCAAGTGAATGACTTTTTTGAGGTATGCAGTAGCTTCTATCATATTTAGAGTCTATAACAATTTGGAAATTTTCCGGGTCTTTTAACAATAAGAATTGAAATACCCTGATTATAATATTAGTCGCTATTTGTTCAGATTTGGCACAGAGTCCTGCAGTTCCTGGTTCTCTGCCGTAGGGCTTATTTGTTTCCTACACGACCATAGCCATCTTAAAAATAAACCACATATTCAAATACACCAAAGGCTCACGTGACAGTATTATTTGCGGTTTTTTCCACCCAGTTATGTTTTTGTGAAAACGTTTTTTAGTTGCTATATATTTTATGGCATTTAATAAATGCCCTATTTTCATTCAAATACTAGAGTTGTGTTTTCACTTCATCCATACAAGTGTGACCTTTTGTGACTTTCTCTAAATGGACAAAACATAAAAATTAGAATCGGCCTTTTTTCTAGAAGTGGGATAAGACAAAAAGCTCAAGTGTTAAGTGTTAATGTTTATCTTTACCGATTTTTGGTCTATCGTGTTCGATAACAACAACTTTTTTCGTTGGGTTTTACTTCGCACCAACACAGTATGGGTCGACTTTCAAGCTTTACTGAAGAAGGGAGACCTCATGAGCCCTTCCGTGCATTATTTAAGGCACGAGCTGGCACGTACCTGAGTAGAACCACCGACGTTCCGTAAGCCAGCTGGAAAGCTTCCTTATATGAAATCTTGAATCCAAAGTCGGGATTCGAAATAACAGCCGTGAGGGGCAATTGGTTTGCCACAATGAGGACTAAACCCCCTGTCGATGCAGTGAAACATTGTCGTTGTTATTAAGATATAGTATTTTCGATATTGTTTTGTTAATATATGAATGTTTGCTATTGTAGATTTCTATGATTTATCTTTATGTCAAGACTTTCGCCCCTGGCTTTCTAATATGATCAAAACTGACGACGGGTAAATATATATTTCATTGACAATTTATCTGTCCATCTTATCTATGCCATCTCTTTGTTTTGAGCAAAATTAATACATTTTGATGTTTAAAGCTTCCTTTCATGAAAGATGAATAAATAATGTCACTTACTTTTCATTGACTGTCATAGTAGTTACCATTACATGAATAGTTTTTACAGAAATGTCAAGTTCGTATATAAAAGTTATGTGTTAACGGTTGGATTTTGAGTCTTGAAGTTTATTTATGTTTGGCGTCAGAGTTAACCATGCATATGTCCGCGATACATTTACAAGCGTCCATGCCGGTCCGCTCCAGGTGCCTTATCGGGGACGTCTTTTTTATGCCGATATGTAGCTTGTAGTGGAAGGAGTCGACAATCTATCCAAGGCAGTACCTTCACACAAAACGACTCTTGTTAGCCCCATCCTCCCGAGTTAGTCACGACAGGGCAATCATCTGTGGTACTTAGGATGACTTGACCTTGACCTGCCACGTGCGTCCTCCTCGACGTGCATTCTTCGATATGGAGATATTGATCAAGCTGGGAAGATGGATATAAGTCTTCCAATGTTGAAGACATAGGTCTAAATAATATAGGGAATAAAGTAAACAGTAGTCCATTAAGTCAATTCTCGTAGATAACAATGATTCACTACATAAAAGTCGTTGAAACTCTAAAGCACAAAATGATTATAAAAACCACAAAGTTTTAATTTTTTGTAATATCACACTGTTTTGAGTTCGGTAAGATGTCCCTTTGTCACAAAAGAATTAAGAACTAATAGATAGGTGAAACTAGTAAACATTTGAAGGACCAGATAACACTGGCAGGTGCGAGATATCAGTCATTTACAATTTTAAAATATCACAATGTTGTAAACATTTAACTTTTGGAGCTTTTGAAGAATGGGGATAATCATAATTTTGTACTTCTGTATTGGATTTCAAGGCATGGGTAATAAAATTTACAGATCTTTAAATTCTTATATATACAAGATTTTTACAGACATTTTCATAAAAGAAACGATAATTAAAATGAAATGAAGTGAATAAAATGTAGTTGTTTTATGTATACAGCAATATTATTTTACATGGTGTGTAGCTTTGCCGTTTTACCCCATAAAAGTCCTTTTTGGCTTTTCACCGTGAATATGACATACTCTTTAGTATTTTTGTGCTTTACATATATCTTTTTTTTTCTTATCGGGAACAATCTTCATTTCTGGATTGACAATTTTACTTATTACTTTGTCCGATTAATTTGTATTACACTTCACTGATATTTTAAGATAGTTCAACATAAAAGGCTAACAGTAGTTACTGCTTACATTATTTTGCCAAATTCTGTATTTATGTCATTAGTTAGTCATTATGCCATTAATATTCAAAGAATGTTGTTTTTATAATTAACGCTGTTTTGTTATCATTGAGACCTCATGAGAAGGAGAAATTTATAAATAATGAAACCAAAGATATGCGGTATTAATTAAGTGCCACTCAGTGCTATTCATTGGTGAAAAATGTTTCGGTTTCTTCCAATATAAAAATAGATAATGTTTGAATGTAAAACACTCTTTTTGTAGTCACAGGGACGAAATCTCTTTCTGTGCAGACATTTAAGGACTACATACGTATTTCTTGGACCCAAATTGCGCAACCACCGGAACAATGGACACTCACTTACAATGTGATGGGAACCAGCTACCATTCCGTTGTAAAAGTTCCAGGGAACCAAAATAACGCCAAAATTTACACTACGAATTACCCCGGAATGTTTTATCAAATCAAACTTTTTGCATCAAACAATGGAAGCGAAACAAGTAAAGGAATCGGATTTGGAATATCAGGTACTGTTGCTTTCCGCTCATTTTTACATGCTCAAAGACGCGGAAAGTGTCAATATATAATAATTATAATTATATCTTTATTTAAAAAAGGTAATATATGAAGATATACCATCGTAGAAAACAAGTAACATATTTAATTGTGGCCTTCTAAACAATATATAGAAACACAAAACATCATAAAACAATAACAACTACTCCATTAAGATTTTGTCCTCTTACTTTGACAAACACTGATATCATTTATACAATTTTCATTGAAAGATATTTTAACAAATATACATGCATGAAAAGTATTATAATAGAATGGCATAATGACAAAGTTCTGACGATATTTATTTGATCTGCAAAATATGTTTTTATGCTTCTTTTCATATACAATGTATAAATATTTTTGCGAATTTTTGTGAATGTATTTTTCTTGATGAACACTCAACTTTGCTATCAAATCTATACGATATCCGTCTAAAGTATAAAAATCATAAACCAGACGGTAACAAAAAACCCTGGCATTATGAAGAAACAACAACAACCAGTATGCCTGTGACAATATGGTGCATTGCAGATGTTTGTTCAAAGCCAGGTATAATTAAGACAAAATTGATATTGGATCATGTTGCAAACGACAATATTGAGATACCTTTATTTCACCATGTTTCATAATGATTATGATCCCAATGTGGTGTTCACAGCTGTTACATATGTATTTACTAGTTACCAATGACAATTCATACAAACACACCAAATTTCTAGTGAACACAATAGCTATAATCATCAATGATAATGAAGTATTATTGCCCGAATACGACGTTATTATATATACAATAATATATTTATTTATTGGTTGATGTCGATGTGCTGTATATGCATAAGACTAAATAAATTTTCTGTTCTGTTATTATCATGGTTTAAACATTCTTTTTTTTTCATTTGTAAGTATTGCTGACTATTGTGTTCAGTTGCTACCAGTTATTGACGGTGTAATAATGAATATATGCAATGTTGTTGGCAAGAAGAAATGTTGAAATGATAATAATAAGAAAATAAACTAAGCTAGTTATGTTGACAGTGTTTGTTTTGAAGAGGCATCTTGAAATTTTGTAATGTTTGGACATTTTAATCATTTTCTGCACAGTCTCCTGATTCACTATCTGCTTCTCTAAGTTCATTGTTTTACAGTCCAAGATCATCGTCTGTATCTCTAAGTTCATTGTTTTACAGTCCAAGATCATCGTCTGTATCTCTAAGTTCATTGTTTTACAGTCCAAGATCATCGTCTGTATCTCTAAGTTCATTGTTTTACAGTCCAAGATCATCGTCTGTATCTTTAAGTTCATTGTTTTACAGTCCAAGATCATCGTCTGTATCTTTAAGTTCATTGTTTTACAGTCCAAGATCATCGTCTGTATCTCTAAGTTCATTGTTTTACAGTCCAAGATCATCGTCTGTATCTCTAAGTTCATTGTTTTACAGTCCAAGATCATCGTCTGTATCTCTAAGTTCATTGTTTTACAGTCCAAGATCATCGTCTGTATCTTTAAGTTCATTGTTTTACAGTCCAAGATCATCGTCTGTATCTTTAAGTTCATTGTTTTACAGTCAAGGTTCACAGTCTACCTCGACGAGTTCATTATTTTTCATAGTATGCGTCTCCAAGTAAACTGTTTTACACTTTTCACACATTGTTTTAACTTCTAGTTTACCGACTGCCCCTCCAGAAATATTGTTCTACTAAATATTATAATATGTCTTTCAGATTGTTCGAATCATATAAATACAACCCTCGGATCTTCTTATCCGTTTGAATCATTCGGATATCCTGGTGGCTTAATGTTTGGCGCCATCTGCACATGGGATTTTATCGGCAGTAACGACACATGGTTTAGAGTTCACTTTGAAGATTTTGATATTGGAAATAATTCTTGCAATAGTTATCTAAATGTAGGAAATTCGAAAATATGTGGTAACGACAGTTTTAATGGAACGTTGATTATACAGGAAAGACAACTGTCAATGAGACTTCACTACAGGGAGACAACCTCCACTAAGGGGATCAAATTCACAGTATCCGGTATGTTTTGCCTCCGATTTTTTATTATTTAGGATTTTATGTTTTTACATGCTGTTATGCTAGTTACTTATCTGACTTTTCTTTTTATTTTTCCATAGAGTCATTCTTTAAACTGTATGCAATTATAAATGAAGCAAGACATTTTCAGCAAAATTTATGTGCATATTCGTTATATTTTTTAAGCTAAAATTTGCTATTGAACTTTTGAACTAACAAGAACATGCATGATATGCCTAATACATATGCTACAGTTGAATTTATCTTTAATTTCATAGCAATTCGTCGACTGGAAAGTCCGACAAATGTAACAGCTAGGATCGTGGACAATAATATCCGCGTGGAATGGCAACAACCAAACTACCACCCTCTGAATTATTCTTACATCTTGAGGGTATCACATTTTCCGTTCAAGTCACACTTGGATCTTAATGTTGACGGAAACAAGACCAGGTATGAGTTTGAAGTGACCAGTCACCATGGACAGAACTTCAGTGTACAGCTACAAGCCGTGTCCGCGGACCTTTCTAGTCGTTTTACAGATCCAGTGTTTACTTTAACAAGTAGGTTTTCCCTTGCCATCTCCGACAGTGTCTGTATGTTAATAATGAACATTGAACTTTATGTACAGTACATGTAATACATGGCAAGTTATATCTGCGTTCAGTATTAAGTTTATAATAATAAATAATGCCGGCCACCCTAGCTTAGTGGGTAGAACGCCGGGTCTACATACTTGCACTGGCGAGTGAGCAGCACATTATTTTCTTGACGATTTGTTTCAATGTCAGTCGTTCTACGCTGTGATTTCAGATGATTTATGTAGAATAATGGTCAGTAAGATTCATAAGGTTATTTCATCTTGTACGGAATTACTCTTCATTGTTTTTTTTTATTCCGGGGTCTCATGAATGCAATAAAGATACATGTACATACATCCAAATAGAAGTGGAATATTATCGTACTAATACTGATACAAAATTGTCTCATTAATGTATTTTTCAGATTGTGACAAAGCTGTTTTCTTGAAAGCTACAGAAACTTTTACTCTCCAAACAGAGCAGTACCCACACTATTATCTCCCAGGACTGACATGTCACTTCCGGTTCCAAACGGAAGATGATTTTCTTATGCGCATCCAGACTTACGACCTTGACATTGGAGGCGGGAAAATGTGTGACAAGACTTATCTACTGGTCGATAATGTTGGCAAGTTTTGTGCGGATTCTGTCCCTAGAACACACTTGATTGTAAATAAATCATCTATGACAATGACCATAGCTACGAGTAATGACGTCATCGGGAGAGGTGTCAACATAAGTATCACTTCTGTCGGTAAGAACTTACTTTTCTATCAGTCCATTGTTTAGTTTGTACCCAATGTTCCACCTTAATAAGATTGTCGGCCTTTCTGATACGATACTTTGATACGTATATAAGTAACATGTTTAAATGATTGGTTCATAATACTTCATATCTTTGTACTTTGGAAATTGATGTTGTTTTTTTTAAATTTCAAGCAAAACCACCAGATGTACCTATTGACGTCACTGCTTCTGAACATGGTGATCTAATACATCTTGCATGGAAACCACCGTTACAACGGCAAGCTTACATCAAAGGATATAAAATACAGTATTTCATAGCACCAAGTACTCCAGGAGCAACTGTATCTGTTGACAAAGATGTAAACAATCTAACAGTGAACACACAAGATCATCCCGGCAGGTTGTTTGCAATTAGAATAGCTGGATTTAATGACGGAGGAGTTGGTAACTTCAGCCATCCATTTTATGTTCGAGCGGGTTAGTTATATAAGTACATGTATATTACCATCCATATTTTCTTATCAATACTGCAGATAAAGAATGTATTAATTAACTACAGACACTCATTTGGCTTATTTGTCTTGCCAATAATGATGCTCGATATACATACTTCCCACAAAATATTTTTAACAATACATGTATATTACATTGATAGAACTATTGTTGAATGATATACACCAGATTCTTGCACGCAAGCATACTTTACTAAGAACGGAGAAAGATTATCATGAACACGCTCATTGTTTCACTTTTTTATAATATGCGTGATTCCAAACAGCTTGATGAAACCGGGAGTTTCACTGTCAAATGTCGTCGCACTAGCACGCGGAAAGCATGAACAATGGTTCGAAATACAAAAAAAACCGATTTAGACGTATACTTTTATGCAAGAATAGCGCTGATGCACTTTTTTCATAAATTAGGATTGGAAGAAAAGCCCGACCACGTGCTTTTTCAGATCTTCATGCACGAAAAAAAGCACATGAACTCTTCATTGAAAATTATATCATTATTGAGCAGATAAATGAGTCTGATCCATTAAATTTGACTTCTATTTTATATCTCAAATATCGTCTACGTATCTAAACTTCTTGAATACTACTAGTACATTTTTTAAATACAGATCTACACAGGGCTAGGATAATGATTAGTATCTGAGCTGTAATGTAATAAATTTACTGCGGTCTGACTGTGAACTATTTAAGGTCTTTAAAAAAGCCACAGCTTGAAATATTTATTTCACATTAACAGGTTGTCTCCCTTTGATAATAAGGAAGTGGATATGTTATTACACGTTGTAACATTACATGTTGACCATGTAAACGTTAAACAAATACTCATGTTGAACAAAACGAGATTATGTTTGTACTATGTAATTATAAAATAATGTTTCTGTAAAGTATGTATATAATACAATCTAGGTAAGGGTGTTGTATGTAGCTGTCCCAAAACCAGGCAATACGTTTAAAGCTACATGCCTCCAGATGAGTCAAAATATTTTAATAAAAACAAACTTGAGAAAATGTTCTAGGATGTTAAGGAAAAGTAAAAAGTTTTAAGATTCAAGTAATATTTCACATGTCTTGTGCGATTAATTACTGATTTTTCAGTATTTACAGCTACATTTTTACTGCATTTCTAGCGCGGTAAGGGCTATTTATGCATATTTTGACCACGTTTTGGTAATTAACGTGGTTTGTAAGTGCCATTGATAATATGTAAATTGCTTCCTTTTGGTTTCTTCACAATGTTACACCTTCAAAAACATTTTCAAAATATTCATGAAAATAAGCATTTATCTGGAGGCGTGCTGCTTTAACTAAAAGTATCGTATCGGCTGGGTATTGTTCCATTGTTGATCTTTCTATCATATTTTAACCTTTGTCTGTCCTTCATAAGTTGAAAAGATTAGACTTATTCAGTCTTGAGTGTCTCAAGTCTCCAACATGTATTTAGGTTGCGGCCGTAGTTTCCACCTTTCGCGGCTTGAGAGCGTAAAGATCACATCCCCAACACACGATGGACTCTACGAAGCGGAAGTTGTGTGTCACTGGACCGTCCAAACTGACTCGCCTTTATGGATCAAGATAAACGTCCACAAGTTGATCTTAGAAGATTCTGCTAACTGCACCAGGGATTATGTGAACGTGACTGGGATCGGTCGTGTTTGTGGGTCACGTGACAAATTTGACACTGTCGTTGTAAAAGATACAAAGATAGAAATCATATTCAGAACTGACTATCAAATTGAAAGTGAAGGTTTTATCTTTGATGTTGTAGCTGTAGGTTTGTAATTGCTGAATACTTCAACAGTAACTTTGTAGAGATTTCATAATATTATGTTGAAAATTGGCTTCCTACATATTGCTTTTGTATTCTTCCAATAATTGAGTTGTATTTGAGGAGAGAAAGAGAGAAACAAATAAAAAATATCACATTTCTAGTTATTAAATTAAATTTTATATAAATACATGTACTTATTTCAAGCTCGGAAATAACCATTGTTTCTCTAAATCTAACAACTAGGTCGTGCACCTGGAGTACCTGAAAGTGTGAATGTGACTGGGGCAGGATTTTCTATCATGGTCAACTGGTCACCACCACAGCTTCACAGACGTTTTGTGACAGGCTATATCATTCATTACAAATTTTATGGTGAAAGCGTTAACAACCATAGCAGAGTTGGCCCGGACACATTTTACCATGTATTAGATATGACGTCATATCCGGGACGTCTTGTAGAAATATGGCTACAAGCCTCTGGTGATACAGAGGATAGCATTTCAACAAATACGACATTAATACGAAGTGGTGAGTCTTTTAACTACTTGAGACAAATACCTGAAATAGATTAGTGTTGAATAGTCTGAAATTTTTATGTCATATCCTTGTTGGGTTTTCAAAATTTTACTATTTCACGTTTAAATGTTGAATTCTGCTTGGGCCGGTGCTAGGGGGCGTGGACGGTAACTTGCACTTTCCAGTACCGTCCATGAACAGGCTCAATCGAACCGAGCCTGCAACATTTTCAATTTTGCCGTGTTGGGCTTTCTTTAGGGATTCTGTATTAATCTATTTTGAGCTTTTGTTTTAGGGGTTTTGCTTCTAACCCATAATCTGCTGGAACCGGAAGTAAAAAGCCAGACTAGCCTTCACATCTGTGCAGGTTCGGCTCAGTTTTTAAATCTAATATTGTAATCCTTTATACTGAATGTACTGTTTCAAATTCCAAGCTGGGCAAGTTCATATCACAAATCAGTAGCGTGTTCGGATCAAAAATTGATATCATTACTTTAGTGGTAAAGCATTCCAGTTACATGTTGTTCTCGGCACTGTTTTTTTTGTAGCCAAAGTCTATGATCGGTATTTGACAGCACTTAATAGTTAACAAATGATTTTTTCTAAATACTAGTAGATTATTAGAATCCTTAAATTTAGAAATAGACATAACTAATTTTATTTATTTCAGAATGTGGTCAAAGATTGTTTTTGTCATCAGTCAAATACATTTCTTCTCCGTATTTCCAAAACAATTTGTACAACAATTTACAATGTACCTGGGTAATTGAAACAATGAAACAATTAAATCTAGAAGTAACATTTATTCGGCTAAATTTGAACAACAATGAAAACAGATGCAACAACTTTGTCCGTTTAAACAACAATTCTTATTGTGACGACTCTAAAGAAGGCAATGGTGTAGTTTTGAATGGTACATCGCCAGTAGTTCTTCAGTTCCACACGTGGCCATCAGGTGTTGGAGTATACTTCCTTCTCAAAGTAGAGCCAATAACAAGTAAGTTGTCTTTTATTTGATTTCCACGATTTGAATAATGTTTAACTCATTAGAAATAATATATAAAGTACTTTTAACAAAATTTTGTGATGATTGGCTGTACAAGGAGATGAGAATTAATAAAGATCTAAGTTGTTTTTTTAGAAATGTTTCTTAATTTAAACAAACTGTTATACAAAAAAAAAGAGAAAAAAAAGAAACAAGCACATAACTTGTTTTATCTGGTATTCGGAATGTAATTAATCACATTTTAAAACTTGTCGTTTCTTCTTGTATACAAGACTTAAAAAAACTAATGATTCTTGGAGATCAGAACTGTAAGGTTCATTTTGAAATGATACGGTTTAGATCTACATATCTTGAAAAAAAAATTGGATGCTATCTTATGGCAATTGATTGAAACAGTCATTTCAGATAACCTTATTGAATCTGAAACATCAAGTAATGTGCCAAGTTTTTCCGAAGGCATTTATTCGTCAACGCCGCTATTATTGACATCATACTTGGGAACTCTTTTGGCGTCATCGTTATTGATGTCATCTCAGGAGGTAGGTATCTTGTCACAGCGTTAGATACTTTCTCCAGCCTAAATTTTCATTAATAAGCGTTATTCATAAAAATTTTATTTTAGATATTATCTAATTGTATCGTTTAAGGTAATTCACTTCTAATATATGAAGTGACCTGACTGACATTGTAACATGTACTAGATGTTTGTACATCTAGCCAAAAGCCTATGCATAATTGGTTCTTTTACGCTTATTCTATAAACTATGATTTTGCCAGACTTTCATGTAAATCACAATAGAACGAAAAATAAAAAAAATTCACAAATTATATATAGAAATGTATTTTGTTTAAGGTTCAAACACAAGCGAAAACTTCTGGAAATACAAAGAGTTTAGAGAAATCATACATACCCTCAACAATGTCGAGTAGTTTCACATATTTTCCGAAAAAGGTATCGTCAACAGCTTCTGTCGATAGCAGCAAAACAGATTTAAGACCCAGCAATTATCAGGTATCATCGTTGAATAAAACTCTATTTTCAACTGTGGACAGTAGGTCTAATTGTAACAATAAGGAATTAATATCATCTGGGATATCTGATATTTTACCAACAGAGGCATCGTCTTGTTTTACCCAGATATCAGCATCGATGACGTCCACCGCTTCCTTAAAGATGGTTATGACAGAACAAACATTAGATCAAGATCAACAGTTCATCTTAACTAAAGCATCATATATTTCGTCACTATGTTTTACAGAAGGATCCCAATCTTTCACAAGTTCATCGACAGCACATTCCAGGATTGTTTCAGAGAGTCTTACGGACTTCTCTTTTAAACTACCAACTGGCCAAAACCACGCTATTTTTTCGCCAGGTTTGTCTGATTCCGTGCTTTTTTCGTATTCCTTTACGACCGATTTAAATGGAAGCAAATTTTATCCTACGGCAACACCATTTATATCACCAACGCCCAGTAATGTTCAAATAAAATCAATAGCATTAACTGTGTCTGATGTGATTTCGTTGGCAAGAACAAATATAACGACTCGATATCTTCAAATAAAGCCGACATCACTTGAAATAAAGCCACCGTTTGACATAATGTCGTATGAGCCCAGAATAAAACCAACTGCTCTTGAGGTAAAACCAGATTTGTTAAAAATTGAGCCAAGCGGACTCGAAATAACGCCATCAACACTTGAAATATCGTCAACTGTGCTTAGAATAAAGCCAACGGCAGCATACTTGGAGAAAGAAAATGAAACGAACAATGGACAAGGCATCAGTGAATTGTTACATAACACTCATATGCTTCAAACGTCTCACTTAGTGACCATACCGGCAATAATAACAGTATCTCTGAACGATGTAAACAAAGTCAGACCATCCAGGGATGCAGGAATAAAAGATGTTTTGGTACACACCAAAAATAAAGGTATCTTTTTTGTTTTGTATAAATCCAGCAAATGCCAACCAATTTTTAGGCTCCTGTGTAGTCACGCGCTTCAAGTCACACAAATTGATTGCTTCGTGGGTGTTGTAACCAGCATTGCACCAGTGATCCTGGAAGTTGAAAAGAGAATCTCACCGCTAGAGGGATCCAAACCCATGACCTACGGAGTACGATTCTCTACTCCTTTTCACCTTTACCGTTCATCCTCCATTTCCCCTTTTTTGAAAATCATATGAATACTATCAAACAGTATTACATCCATGTTACAATTTTATACATTTTTGGATACTTGTTCGGAGTTAATGGATGCATGTATACATATTTCATAAATATACATGTATTAATATTTACAAATATACATTTGTATATATATTACCTCTGTTATCACATCTGATGAAGCAAACCAAATTTGATCTTCAGATTTACAGTTAACTATCGGTCATTTGTCGGCATTATCATTATATCAAATATGGTATCTAATGGCTACAGTACATATAAGTATGTGACTGAGTTTTACGATATCTTATATATCTGACTGCAATTGCCACGTTTTAATTTGTTTGTTAACAAATATGTACATTTCATTTCATTTATTATGGAACTAAGCAAACAGGAATTACGTATCACCTTTAATGTTACAGATATTTTTTAACCAAATAGAATAACCACAACATATGTTGAGTGTCAGAAGATAAATCACTTAGAGTTCAAAGCTTTAGTCTCCGTGGCAGATTGGGTTATGTTCCCTGGTTCATTGAATCACTAGCCTCTTACCACTGTACAATTGTCTTAGCCAATTATTTCATGTGGTGAAACTACCGGTATCTATATTATAAGCTTAATAGAAGGTCGATGTCTCTACTCCGGTGCTACCTTGTGCATGATATATACATTAGAGGGGAAACTATATAAGGTCTTTCTCAACCACTTAATGCTGTCAATGCGTATTGTTCGGTTTTATGAAATAGAAGCGCGAACAATGAATATAGAAGTTATTGCATTGTCTATTTTTTATCAGTTGTAATATATTAAAAGGTTTCATAATGGTGACTGCAAGTTAAACTGCATGTATGTATAACCTTCTTTATTTTCTCATTTTCAGATATTAAAGAACAAGAAAGAGTTCCGTCAAGCGGGTATTCGTTTAGAGAATTCCACGATCAGTTTGTTGGCATTTTAGTCTGTGCTTTATTCATTAAAATGCTAAATATCTAATTAAGGTATCCTGTTAATCAAAACTAGCCATGTAATGATAATCTGATTGAAATGTACATGAAACAACAAAATAAGACGAATTGCTTCGTAAACTTCATCTTTTCTACTCATTTGCCATTGGTGTGATGGACGTTATATACTACACGTACTATACTGAGAGATATATATTCTTGCCGTGACACGGATAATGTTCATTTGATTTGGGACATTCCATTGATGATTTTGAGAAGTGTTTAAGATTAAAAATAAACATGATATCATTGACACAGTGGAGATATGTCAGAGTTTAGATAGACATGTACATGTACATGTATCTGACTTTGCTTTTTTGTCATAATATATTATACATGTCGATGTTATCAATGTTCAATTCTGATAGGGAACCTATATATCAATGCCAGCCTTATTTAGGAAATTAACATATGACAATCGGGAAATAATAAAACACGTTCTCAGAAATAATTGTACGTGCGTAAACATTATATATTTTTATTATTTCCTTTTCCATTATTTTTTTTCTTCAAAATAACATTCTAAGTTGAAACACATGCCTTCATGTTTTGTATTTAAATGCAACCAGATTCGTCTATCTCTATGACAACGAACGCACAAGTTGCCATAGTTTCAACGAAATCGGAGTTTGTCTACAACAAAGTTGTTTATGACAAGCTCTTCATACACTGGTTCATGGAAATCTATTAGGAAGGCAGGTGTTTCAAGAAAAATATCATTTTATTAGCATACCCGTAATATATCATACAAAAAATAGTTAAAGTTTATCAATGTCATAATTTGACCAATAGCTGTCTAGACTGTGATGTCAATAGGTAGTTTGTATTCACCGTTTTCTTCTTCAGTCTCTTCCTGGTTATTTTCAGGCTCTGCTACATATTCTGTTTCAGTAGGAATTTCATTACTGTAATAAAATATTTTTTGTATATAGCAAATTCTCTATGATAATCAACTCAAATACTTAAAGAGTTTTTGGATAAATGGTAATATTTCAATTTCATGTAAAATAAATCCTATACCGTTATCTTAGTGGCTTCCGCTAAACTATTTTTTTTTACAAATACATGTAATACTTAATCTAGTTATTTAATCACCACGGTCTAATAATTTAAGATACATGTTTAATGTTTCACAATAAAAAATACAGAACAAATAACTATAAGATTTGCCACACAACTATTTGCTAAGATAACTACGGTTGCGGCTCGAATTCCGCGATGAACGTACGGACGCTATCCGATTGGCTTTCGGAAGTTGTGACGATTTACCTAGATACCCAAATAGTCACTGAAATAATACTGATGTGAGCATCCATGTTGTTTTGCCACCAAAAATATGATAATGAGGTAAGATGTAATCTACTGGCCAAATACACAGGCGCTAGTCACATAATCAAATATTTAACATAACCGGTCTATATATGTATATAAAGATATTGATAGAAAAAGATTGATAGAAAAAGAGTTTGTTTATGAAATTTATGAGGAAATTTTAGACGTTTTCTGTTTATTTCGTAGGAATCGACCAGAAATCGTGTTTGTATACATGAATAGATTGGACGTCGAAAACGACAAGGATTGAAAATATTGGCATTTTGTGAAACTTTTACTCATTTCTTTGCTATTTGAAGAATTTTAATGAATTAAAAAGCGTTAACGCTTGGATTGATCCTTTCGAATGTCGACCAGAAAGAAATAACCGTGATCTGGTCGTTTCTTGCAGCAGTGTTCTCGTTTGTTCAGCATGATGTTTGTGTTCTGTTGGAGACCTTATATCTTATTATAGTATATAGCCCATATAAAACTTTAAAAAAATTGTTTCAAGCACCTGTGGCCAATACAATGTACAAATCTAGGTTGATCCCTTTAAAGTTATAGAATTGGCATTAGAATCAGACATTGATAGTATGTGACTTTGATTTCTGACCTGATGATATCGAAAATCAATACTGGTTATCAACTGACAATCTGCAATGTCCCAAAACTTAAGTTTCACAACCCTAGGTTTATATCTTTTCAAGGTATGTTTGGGTTTTTGTTTGTTTGTTTCATGTTACGCCCTTTCCCAACAGTAGTTCAGTCATATAGGCTGGTAGTTTCCTAACCATCGTTTCTGGAGAGTTACACCAGTACTAGACCACCTTCCTCCGTGCTAAACTACCAAACAATCTCCCGGGGATCGAACCCACGCCAGAGAGGTAACTGAATTAGAACTTAGAAGTCATCGACTCAAACCCCTCGACCACGGAGGCGGTCTTTTCAAGATATAGAGCGGACAAAATATTTTCCACTAAGTGTCAATGTGACCTTGACTTTTGAGGCTTTGAACTATTGACCTTAAACTTAATAGGGATAATCTGCTGCTCTTGGGTAATGCGCCTAACAAGTTCTACAAAGTTAACCTCGGACAGGTTATTAAGCAGACAAAGATTTTTTGCTGTCACTTTGAACTGGACTTTTGACATACTGACCTCAAAATCAGAAGGGGTCATCTACTGGCTATGGCCATCCACCCAACTTAGTTTAAAGACAGCTGGCCTAATATATATTATTTGCAAGACCGGACAGACGGATGTACAAGCGGAAAACCATATACTACGATCGAAGTTAAATATAAAGAATGTAAAACAATACATACCTGTCTACGATTGGTCTTTCAACACTTTGTCTTAGAAGATTTTTAATGTCGGTCTCTATATCTGAGACTGGAGTTTCGGGACTGTACCGGTATAATGGCCGGCCAGTCTTACTGATAAGGAACACCTCGAAGTTCCAGCGGACATCACTCACTGTTTTAGGATCATAGTAAAGCATTGACGTATCCTCAAATGTTTCACTGGTTGGTCCACACATAGACTGAAATATAAATTAAATTGTACATTCTATATTGTCACATTGTTAATTATTCACACACAATGCTATAAGCAACCTGTTAATTGTTATTCTGTAATAAGTTAACATTGTTGTTAACTTTGTGAAATGGTTGCACCTGTCTAAAACTAGAAAGGCATTGTAACAAAACGTTTTCACGATTCGGTCAGTTTATCCGTGTTGCAATCTGTGGTTGATATTTGTTTTGCAATAGGTTGATGACAGTTTAAAATATTTAGCTGTTTGTAATTGAAATTAATGGCTATCTCACTCGAATTATTTTTATTAAAAAAATACACTTAATTGATATCAATACTTGAGAAACGACACTGGAAGCACTACAATGAATACTTTGAAAATATTATTTGAGTTCGATTTTTAAAACAAATTCTTGCAAATTATATTAACCACTTTCGAGTCGGCTTTTCAGTCCAGAACTAACCTGCACTGTATGTTTCTTATGAAGAAATGATAGAGACTCTAGTTAGTAAAGCTCGAATGAAGAGTGGTAATTATCTTTACCACTAGACCACCGAATTTATGTTGAAACAGTATATACACGCAGATGTGATCTGCAACAGGACAAAGCGAGCACCGCGAATACCAGTAAATTAAATCAGTGTAAGATTTATCTGTGAAAAGAGTAATATTTTAGAAAATTAGTACCTTAAGGTATGTATATAATGGTAGCTCGTTCTTCCCATTGACATCTATTTTCTTAAACATTTGGAAGTTAGGAACAAATCCCCCACCTGGCCTCACATACTTGATTCCATTTAGGAGTTCAGTGTAGTTGTCGGCCGGCTCTAGCTGAAATAATATATATATTGCTATTATTCGTAACCTGCATCATATGACATTTTATTTAATTAATGCAGTTATTCAAAGTGCTTTTGAGTTGGTACTTGTGCATTATCTAATCTCTTTTTTACGGGCACTGTATGCCTCCGAAATCTATATTTGTTTACTTCTTTCGAAATGTCAAAAAAGTGTTGATCATTTTTAAATACATGTAATGGATTAAGTGTATGTTAGCTGCTTTACAACTGAAAAAGTAGCGCTGAACATGCAGTTATGTGTCGTTAAGGTAGCGAAACGTAAACGAAATAGTTATTTTGAGTTCCATACTAGATACTAATTCACTATAATTATATCACTTGCCAACTTAACTAAAGATGAAAAAATAGCAAATGAGTATGTTTTTTGAAACTAACAAGTTACCAAAAAATAAACCGTTTTTGAGAAATAAAAATGATAGCATTTTGAGGCATAATAGACCTTAGCATTTTTAGGCATAATGGACCGTTTCCTTTAGTCTATACTAACTTACCATTCCAAAGTTGTTGCACGGAAATCCGAGCACTTTTACTCCAGCGCTTGAGAATTTCGTGCTTAGTGCGTTCAGATCCATATATTTAAATGTTAACCTTCAGAATGTCGCTACATTTACTATTTACACCAGATCACCACTGAATCTAGACAGTGGAATTGTCTCATTTTCATATATATTTATTGCTTCATGATTGTAAACATCCGGTGTGGTGCTGTGCCCGGATTTTACATCACATTTGATCCTAAATCCATCAACACACGCCAGAAACCCTAAAAGGGTTTCCAACAAAATGTATCCTTTACCGACACTCATTTACAATGGAATGTGCTTTTCATAGAATAATTCTGTTTTATTAACATATAAAACATGAACGGTCAAAGGTTTCATGCCACGTTTGTACGGCACCAAAGGCAACTGTATTAGTCTAATTAGCAGCTAAATTTTATAACAGCAAGCTGCTGCAACATGTAATTTATTGTGTGTTGTATAAGGGCATTATTAACACGTGAAATGTGACTCGGTTGTTTTGATTTTCTATATTCTGTACAAATCACATGTTCGACAAATACAAACAAGACTGAAAAATGTTGATACGGACCCACTCATCAACTGCAAATTGATCAAGTAGAAACATTTAAACGGACCCATAAATTAACTGAAACTATAAGTACGGACCCATAAATTAACTGAAACTATTGATATGTATCCACAAATTATCTAACACTTTATATGAACCCACAAATTAACTGTAAATATTGATATGTACACACAAATTAACTGAAAGTATTGATGCGCCGCCGCAAATTAACTGAAACTATTGATACGGCCCACACATTAGCTGAAACTATTGGTAAGGACCCAAAAATTAACTAGCACTTGATATTGACCTATGCATTAATTGAAAATATAGATATGGACCCACAATTTAACTGAAAATATTGATACAGACCCACAAAATTACCGGGCAATTATGTACCGGGTGTTTTCTATTCATTTATAACTTACAGAGTCGTTACAAAGGAATTTTCAAAATAAAAACAATAGTTAATTGAGTAAAAAGTAAACGAAACAAATGAAAAAGATAAAAGATTACTTACCAAGTCAAAGTTGTTACAAGGGAATCCG